TGTTGGCTACAGCAGAAGCGGCCGCCATCAGGCTACACCGATCGGTCCTGTGCGCCCAAAAGAACTTTGTCACGGCGCCGCAGTTACCATGGCCGAAAGCCGCTAATGCAAAAGCCTGCAGAATATTATTTCACACAGCTAACAGTGTCCCCTAACACAGATCAAAATTTTAAGCCCGATTCCCTCCTTCCACCTCCTCTGACAATCGCACAACCTATCTACCAACCCGCATACTTTATTTAGGTAATAACTAAATAAATTTAAAGGCCTGACGAGAATGTATCAAAAATAGGCATATGTGGCCCTATTTATCTTCTAAGCTTTTCAATGGCAATTTTCGCACATAAATTTTATACAAAAATTCACAAATGCATTCTTTCTTGTACTCATTTAGTAATAAATTACGCTTTTTTTAATTTTATATTTAAAGGACGGGTATATTACGATTTAAAAAAGTTCCTAGTTGTCGAATAATTTTCAAATTGACTGACTGTTCGCACTGAATTCAATGTTTCCAAACTGCGTACTGTGTGCAGGCTGCTTAGGGAAAAGTGCGCTTTTGCCCACGGTGTGAAAAAGAAGTCATATAGGTCTCATAAAAGGTTGCCGTATGTGTGGACCATACTGTCTGCTCTGTAGGCAACATTAATAAATTAACGGATGCCGAGTATTAAGAATGAATATTTCACAGTCGTAAAAAATCTTATGATAAAAAACGTTTAAAAAAATACCATTTGACTAAGGATAAAGTTTGAAGGCGTAATCTTCTACCAAATGAGTGCAAGAAAAAAAATTGTGAATTTTTTCTAGAAAATGAATGTGAGTTTATCAGGGCAGTCAAAATCAATGAGTTAGATGCATACGATGCGACGAACCATTTTTTACAGACCACACATCCTGTGAGGGGTCAGAAAGCAGGTCTTTAAAAAGCCCGCGTCTTGGCATGATCGAAATGACTTGAGAGTAGACAAAACGAGAATCAATATTACTTGATATCGATCTGCCAGTCCTCACCAATCTTCCGCAAATTTCGGAATGTTGCACGAAATACGGGCAGTGCCATACTTTCATATTATTCCTCACATACCTATAATTTGGGACAAAATTGTGGTCTTTTGAAGTAATTGTAGGACTCAAAATAGAACGCAATTATTTATCAATTGAAAGGAAAATGAATTTTCTCCCAATGGAAGCCGTTATGTCGGATTCCAGTGCATGATACCAAGAGAAAAATGCCCAGTAATAGGACAAAACATTGTCTATTTTAAACTTTCAGAGCCTGCAATAAGATCAGGCAAGACTCCGTTACAATGTATCGCTTTAGTTTTAAATTGCGTTAGTTTCTTACAATGAAATGGACGAACGAGATGATACTCAGGTAAGGATGCGTTACAATAGGTTATTTAAACGGATCACATGTTTAAAAAAGTGAAAACTTTGTTGAAAGCGAGAACTCGCTTCGTTGTAACTTTAAAATCCGACTTTTCCTTAAAGTGCACTTTCAAGGCAATTTTTGGCGAATGTTGCAGTGGACTTTAAACTCAGAGACGCAGAAAGCCTATAAATCAACCAAAACACAATAAATGTGATTTAGTTTTTGTTGTATCAACGTTTCAAAAACTCATTTCCAAATTACACAGCATTTGGGGTGGACTAGAGGAACCGAGTTACTTTAATAATTTCCAATTTCTAGTGCCAAATATGTAAGAAGTTTTGAGGATAGCCAGTTTTTCTAACAACCACGTTTAGTGCTGAACAATATCTTAAGTGCTCAGCAACCTGAATAATAAAACATAAACTGGAATGTCTTTGACTCCGACGTTTTGCATTGCTGAGGGACTACATGCCTTTGTACTTTTTATGAACATGAAAATTGTTTTTTGTGTCATTTGGTAACTAATCGTTATTCCTGTATTTGTCTGCAGTCTTACATTGGAGGTTATTCGCCAGCCAAGAATAATCGACGTTGATCTCATGTCAACAGAATGCTCCCTCGGTGGCTACGCACAGCTTGTCTGCGTGGTTCTAGCCAATGGGAAACCGAATATTTCGATTGACTTCAGTTCTACCGCCGGCCAAACAACCCAGCCCATCGGCGCGGAGGAGAGCATGCTGGGTGGAGACAGAGGTGATTGGCGTCAGCTGACCGAGTCCTACAGCTTGAGGATCTATCGGTCCGAACTGGATACAGAAAGGCCCATGCTGCATAGACTTACAATTAACATTAGAGGTTCGCACGTTTTCTTTGTACTGCTATCATGCAGAAGTTTTCTCATTACTTTATTCGTGTCCAAACTGATTGCATTGTAAGGTTATCCTGTTTGTCTGTTGGCAACACATGCCTCCCAATGTCTGTTCGCCATCAACCGAATCAGTCAGTATTAATTCCTGTACACACCAATGCCTGCTGCTCCTCTATTGAAAATAATCACTAGTTGAGGACCGTCTGTGAGTGTTTCACGTTCCAGAGATATATTTAGATTGAGCGGAATAAAGAAAATTCAAGTTAG